ACTTGAAGAATTAGAATTATCTGCTGCTGGTGGTGGTGGTGGTGGTGGTGGGCGCGTTGATTTCAAAGCTTGTGGATCTAAAAATTCGATTGGTTTTAGTAGTATTAAATTTGAAGATATTAACTTCAAAGTAATTATACATACTTTTAACAGTTACGTAACGATTTCCCACAATATCTTGAACGGAGGAATTAAAAGAGTTCATAGTTGATTGCCAGTCTAAAGTTGGAATAATAGGCAATTAAGTTGAAAAATCCAAAAAAATTCAAAAATACAGTAACAATAAATGAGCCCACCTTCTTTAATATCAGTCATATTTTGAATATTTTTAATGAATTCTTCTATAAGGGTAAAATTATTTTGACTAAAAGGATGATGCTAAAAATTCAGTAACACGAATGATACAAGTTATTAAATTTTCTGACAATGAATTCTTACTCTTTCGAATCTTTTGAAGCAATCATTAGCAATTTCTTTAAGATTTCGATTATTCGCAAAACAAGTCCTTCGTTATATTCCACTTGTCTTAATAGATTAAGCACCCTTGTACGAGGATCACTATTTGTTATTAGTAATTTAATATATTAGAAATCAATTATATCGAAGAATTAATATTTTCTATTTTCTAAAAAATCAATAAACCTTGTATCCTTTATAATATCCTGTACTTTCTCACTAAGCTCATCCAAATCCTCTTGATATTCTTCTTCATAAACTTTAATTTGAGTCATTAACCAATCCGGAGGATTTGAAGTTTTAATTGTCTATATAAGAGAGATCAATAATTATTTATTATTATTATCACTATCATTATCATCATCATTATATTGTTTTATATAATATAATATATTATATTATGTTATAATAAATTATAATATAATATATTATATTATGTTATAATAAATTATAATATATTATATATTATATATTATTATTATTATTATTATTATTATTATTATTATAATATTATTAATCATTACAGAAAATGTTTTACACATACGGCAAAAACTTCATCGATTCCTCTTCGTTCAAATTCCTCTCTTAATAATACGCGTTGTTCTACTTCTTCCGGAGAATTTACAATCGCGTTCACTAAACTCAAACAAGCTGCCTTATACTCAATTGAACTACTGTCTTCAGTATCGTTTCCTTTTAATGTGGAAATTAAATATTCGAACCGATATTTTTCCTTTTCCTCATATATTATACGAAAATCTGATAATGCACCAAGAACGTGTTTATGTCCTTCCAAAGATAAAACACATAAAGCTGCCAAAATATCGGCAACTTGTGCCCGAAGTCTATTGTTACGAGTGTTTAGACAGAAAACAATATTGGATATGAGTGAGGTGGACTTTAAGACTTTGTCAAAACCAGGCTAATGAAGATAAGTGAAATAATTAATTAATATTATACTTGAAATATTTGAAAAATAGTAAAGAATAGTATTATTCACCTACCTCAGTATTCATTAAAACGCGCAAACAACGGATGCACTCTAATTGAATCAGATCGTCGTGATCCGAATGTTTTGCACTTTGAATTTAGTATGATAAATATAATTTATTAAATAATACAATACATGAGAGGTAAAAAAAATCAAATTATTCATTTATACAAACCTTTTCCTTGCATTGATAGTGATTTTCTCTAGAACAGTTTCTAATGCAACTAAACCTTTAAGTTCAAAAAATACTTTAATCCATGATAATTTGGCAGTAGACAAAGTGACACGTAGTTTTAAGAGATGATCTGACAAAGATTTTGGGGATATGTTCCTATGAAATGTATGCATGAGACATGAAAAAATGAACATTTTCAAGTTGCAAAACGTTTACTTCATACTTTTGGGTTAATTTTTCTACGTAGAATTCAGGATCATCTTGGGATTTTTGAGATGTTGCATTATATCCGAACCAATTAAGGATACCTCCATAACCAGATGTCGGTGATTGAAGTGTTTCTTCTGTCGTCACGGAAGGTGAATTTTCTAAATTCGTCCATAAAGTTAAAGAAAATCTTTTGCTAGTCTTAGGCTCCAAATCAGTTTTATTCTCGACTATATTTTGAGATATCATATTTCTTGAATTTGTAATTCCCAAGTCATCTAAATCATTGATTATAGGTTTTTGCTCATTCTGGTTATTTGATTTGAAAGCTTGATTTTGTTCGTTTTGTGCTAATATCATCCTTTTATTATCTTCTGGCAATTCCATCATCTCTTTGCGTTTAGCAATCGGAATTTCTAGATCATCCTAGAGGAAAACTTTGTTAATAAATATTTAATATGATTTAATTATAAATTCCGATTTACCATAAATTTCTTAAAAGCGCCTTCTAAATCTTGACCTTCGACATCCTTAGCAAAGTTTGAAATGTCATTTCCTTGTTTACGGCCAATTGTATTTATTCCTCTTCTTACACTATTATAATCAATGACAGTAGCTCTTTTTCGAGACTTCCTGCGAGGTGGATCAAAGCTTCCAACAGCACTTAACCAGCTTCCCAAAACATTAGGGTCTATAATGGCACTTATACGAGAGGCGACAAGAGAAGCGCGGTGGTTGACCTCTCTTGAGGGATCACGCTTGTGTGCAATTTGTTCTGAAGGTATGTGTTCTTCTTCAGCCAAGGGTAAGCTGTCGACAGGTTCATTTTCAAGAGAAGGTTGACTTTCTAGATCTAAAGAATTGGAAGTGTCTTCCATAGCAAGTATTGTTTTGTCGAGTTATATATGACAAATAAAGTCCATATATAAATGAATTACGAGTTTGTCAAAAAAATACATTAGCAATCACACTACTCTTCACAGAAAATAATTCCACTAAAGAGTTTATAAATAAAAAGGAGGGAAAACAGTAGTTTAATTATATAATAATAATAATATCAAAATTTTGACGTAATTGTGTAGACATGATGAAAAAAAGTTGCAAATTTGTGTAAGGGGATGATGTTAAAAAATATAGTCCTTTACTTTAAATTAAAATTTACTGCGCTATTGACAATTTTAAGGAAACTATAAAAACTACACCCATTTTGCAACAATAACAATAATTTATTACGCAGTAGGGAGAAGGAAATATTATTAATCATGTTGAATATATATTATGTTATATTATATTATATTATATTAAATAAATACCAATAAAGCATCACCTTCTTTTCTCATGAAGAGGTAGCATTAGTGTTTATGTTACTACTACTTAAACCAACAATGCTTATGGTAGTATCTCTTGGCGTTTCCCCAGTAATTTCTTGGAATTTCGCCCTTGATCTGTCAG